TGAACTCGCAAGCCTCAGGGCTCATGGCCCGGGGCCTGGAGGGGACTGGAGTGACCACAGCCAGCTTTCATCAGCTACTCGCCTTCAGAGAGAGCTTTTCACAGGAATCAGATGGAAGAACTTAAGGTGTGTGGAATAATGCAACGTTTAATAATTGTTCGGTCTGTGTGGTCCTTGGACTCCAAGCACCCAGGAGCAACTGAGGTAAGCCCATGGGACCAAGAGGATGGAGAGGTAGGGATTCAAGTGCAAGATACTAGGAGGGAGAACTGATGGGGGTCAGTGGGGACCCCTGGTGGGGGACAGAGGTGTCATGGAGCGGGTTCCTGGATAGATGGCAACGTGACTCACCTGGGGTGTCAGGAGGCGGCAGAGGAGGGGTGCAGATTTGCCCTCAGGGTGGTACTGCTCCCCAGCACAGCTCCGCACCCTGACGTCACAGCTGGGCAGGAAGACGTGCCGTGTCCCAAGTGCCGTGGGTGGAAAGGGAGATGACCTTTCAGACTTCAAAACCACGGTCGTGTTGGAGGCAGTGAAAGGGAAGTATGGCAGAGGCAGCGCTGAGATCTGGGATTTTAACTCGAAGAGAAGCGATACGACCGCTCGGGGAGGAACACGTGACGTCAAACAAGTCGGAACGCTGACACCTGTCGGCGACAGGTGTGTCAAAACCCTTTCTCCATATCATCTCCCATAGGAGGGTCAGAAAATGACAGCCATCCTTTGAGGTCAAGGCATTACATTTTAAAGAAGAGTGGTGTTTTCTACATAAGGATGGAAACGAGTCTCAGATGTGGGCAGGAGGGGTTTCGGGTTCTGCTCCTCTGGCTTCCTACCGCCTCGGCTTGGTATCCCCACTTTAGAAGGGTTGTGTGTGGTAGAGAAACTCGACTTCAGAGAACTACTTTCAACATGACTGTAGATATGGGAAGTAAGAATTCATTTTAATACAGAATAAAATTTGAAGAAATAGGTCATATTTAAATAAGGCAGGGAGTTTAGAGAAGTATCCCAGTGGTTAGAGGCCTTATCTCCCAAGGTAAAGGGCAACATTTTAATGTCTCATGTACATTTGACAAGAAAACTGTAGTCAGAAACCACGTAATTTGGGGTGTGCGACCAGACGGATGGTTAGAATAAGAAAGTCAAGAAACAAAACAGTCTCGACTGTAAGCCAGCTGTCGAAGCTTTACTTAAACTAAATTTAGAGGATGAAAGCCGTTTGACAGTATATGAGCACAAATCCCCCCAAAAAATTTAAAAAAGAAAAGCATATATAAATGCTCTTAACAATGCAAAAACTTACATCTGTGAAATACATACACAGCACTTGTTTAAATGCAACCTATGTTTTATATTGACCTCTGCAGTCAATTTTAATCAAAGGCTGCACACATATTTTAATGTGATTGGTTTCAACAGTTTAAATTAAACCCATAGTTTTGATGTGGCACAGAAGCGCCTGTAAACTGAGAGCCACAGCTATTCACATGTAGAATAATAACTCCCAGTCGACTTGATTTTATTAAAAAAAAAAAAATTCTGGATCACTGGTGACGGTCAGATCCGAAATGTAGAATGAGGTAATTTTATTTTTCCAATTGCAGGATCCTGTACCATGTTCTAAATCCTAGATCATATATAGTATGTTGGCCCAGGAAGGAACCTTAGCAATAATGGCCCAAGCGTCTCATTGTCCAGGTGACCAATGTGCCGCCCGGAGAGGGGTGAGTGATGTGGAGGCCACGCCCATGGCCTCCAGCACAAAAGCGCTCCTTGAGCGAATGAGCATAGGCCTCTCGGCATTGAACAGACTCGTATGCCCTCTCGATACATCACGAAGCAAACCAAATATATCATAGACCCAAGGAGCTGTGTATTTGCCCCACAAGCCTGTGGATGAGGCCCCCCCAGGAGAATGCGCTGCTTTGTGGTGACTGGTCCTTGCTGCAGGTGCTGAGTGCTTGGTGCGGACATGGACCCTGTACCTCCTTTGTTAGACCAGGGTGGCTTGAACTTCGCCGTCAGTAGCAGGTTCATCCAAACTGTGGGCCCCCAAGTTCGTGGCCCCATACTTTAAAGAACCAGAGTCCACCTGGCTGTAATGTTTTCTACCTCTAAAGGCACCATTTCTTGTCCCTGGTTCACAGTTGGAGAACATCTGTCTCTAAATCAGAGTAATGACCAATTCTGCACGCCACTGAGACTTCACGGAGCCAGACAACTGTGAGCAGCACGGCTGCTGTGGGCGGGTCCGTCTTCACCTCCCTTCTAACCTGAGGAGACCACATGTACTTCTGGAGAGAGAAGGGGTTCCCAGCTCTTGCACGCTTTTGTTTTACACGGGCTGTAGCAGCCAGTGTCAAGTTGTTAGTGAAGTGCACTTCGTTACATAACCTGACTTAAAAAGAGGTACCCCATAAGAAATGTGCCGAACCTGTGTGGAGCTGACTGCCATCTGTAAAAGTGCGTGTATCTTATGCAGTCTTTTAGAGACCCTGGTTGATTATAGTTAAAGCAGAGAATATTCTTCTGGAACCACTTGGATTTGTCAAAGGTGATTTAAAAAAAAAGACTTAGGAGGCCCGCCTTCGGTGGTCTCGGCAGAGACTGCAACAGCTAATCGTTCCTACCCCCTCCCCGCCTTGAGAAGAAAATGGAGTCACCTTGAGACAAGATCTCACCATCTCCTCTTCATTAATTTTCCCTTTTAAAATCAGATGGTAAATTGTATAATTTGTTACACATTTTCTGACTCTGGAGCGGGTTATTTTGATTACATAATAGTTTCTCTCCTTTCGAAATTAGTGTAGTTGATTTTAGATGTGTAGCCTTTAAAAGGACAGCTAACGGGGCCTTTCGTGCATTTATTTGTCTTCAGATATTTCTCTATATCCTACTTTACGTGTGGTTAGATCAGCTGATGAATCACATGGTGTTTTGCTGTTTCAAATGACAGAAATACTCCGAATAACCACACGGAGGAGCATCTCGAATGTTTACCAAACACGTCGCTCAAAAACACGCTTTCCTATGGTTCACTTTTATGAAAGAGCTGCGTGTGAGCGTGGCTGTCTGCAGGCCAGCAGGTTTCAGAGAGTCGGCTGCAGGCGCCAAGCGCATCGCAGCGCTCACAGATCATGTCTTGTAAAGCCCTGTCCATCACAATTTCCGGTTACCAAGAAAAAAAAAAAATGAAAAAAGGCTGACTTCGAGCATAAAAGCCCTTCCTTTCCTGGACTGTGTGCCGCTTTGACTGGAGACAGCACCGAAGTTTAAGAGGTCAGCTCGCCTGCAAAATGAGGGGCCGGAAGCCACGGCCCGCCGGTGCGCCCGGGGCCCGTGGTCCTGGGCACTGCTCTGCTGGGAGTTACTGGACTAGAGAGATTTTTAAATACAAGAAAATATTTCTCAGGATAATGTCATTTAACTAGCACAATACAAACACCTTCAATTTTGTAACAGGTTCTCATTCACTTCAGTTGGAAGTAAAACAATTAAAAGTAAACAATTAAGAGGACTGAGTCTTTAAATCATTATGATTCTAGAAACCAAGGGTGCAGAAAACTTATTCTCCCCTTCTCCATCCTTCCTGGAAGAAAAGACCCCCAAACGGATGATTAGGGGGGGAAGTTGCCTTTGACTTGGTTCACTTCTCACAAGATATCGTTGCATAACTTTTCCGATATTTGGAGACGTAGTGACTGTCCCACCCCCTGAGAAAGACCCAGCAAAGGCTGCTTGTGAGGACCGCGGGGCTGGCCCCTGGCGCTAGACCTCAGGGGAGCCCCAGCCTCCTTCCTCGGGGGCCTCCTACCCACCACGGCTCCCACGGCTATTTATTGGGAGGACTCAAGGAGTAAAAAAATAAAGTGCATTTACTATGACAGAGAAGCTTGACTCGGCCCCTCCTAAACCAGCACTAAAAGTTTCCAGTTCTGAAGGTACCAGCCATCCATGGACATTTCCAAAGCTACACCCTCTGCTAGCGCTTGAACATGACACAACACAGAACACAAACACAACACAGGAGAAGAGAGAGACCTTTTGGCACAAGAGACAAGCCCGACAGGCAGCGAGGGGCGTGGCCAGTAGCTTGTGCCCAAATTAAAGAATTTCAAACAGGTGAGGGGTCCTGCCGGCACAAGGCCCGGTCCACCTGGCCGGCAGGTCCAACCCTACCAAGACCAACCTGGGGTGAGCCTCGCCGGGTTCTTTCTGCTCGGTTCCTGGGTGTCTCATCAATGTCCGTTGCCACTGAGATCCCGTTAATTGGGAAAGAGCAAATCAGCCACATGTTTAGAAAGACCTCAAATATGCCCCTCAAAAAAGCAGGGAGGCCATTAAGGGCCGCTCTGCCCCCAGCTTGTGCAGAGAAAAACCCTTGGCGAATAGCCGAAAACCAGCTTTGAGCCGCCCCAGCTCGCATCAGCATTTGCTTGAAAAACGCCTCATGCCCTGTAGTTTTAGATTCTCCTTGTCGACCAGCAATCACCCTGCAGTGAGAAAGCCACGCCTGCTCTTTTCCATGGTCCTCAACACGTGACCCTCACAGGTGTGGAGCCCTTCAAAATCTGTCAGCTGAGCAACTTGCAATAGAAAAACAAAAGCCCCGTGCTGGGGAAACGTTTCTTTGGTCGGCAAAGGCAAAGAATGCCCGTCCTTACTCTGAAAGGTGGGAAGGACTCTCCCCACCTCCCTGGTCTGCCCTCCCTTCCCATCCCTGGCGGTTAGACCCGATGCAGCAGAACCTGCCAGCTTCAGACTGTGACTCAGGGCCCGAATCACAGCTCCGCGCTCGCTGTCCGGGTCTGGGGGCTGTTTCCACCCAAATATTACAGTCTATGAATCTCTGTCACCGAAGGGGCACCTGAAGTTATAATGCCACGTTCCAGTTGCCTAATGAAGAGTCTCTAGTTGATCTCGATTTAGCGGGAAAGAATCGGCTTTTTCAATTTGATCTTCGGGCTCCAACCCCCAGCATGAAATAGTCACACACGTTAAAAAATACTGTTTAATTTTCTAGTCGTGTACTTTTTAAAAAGCTGATACAACTCGTTTTTCCCGTCTTCGCAGATCTGCCCCTGAAACCACCCCAAAGCTGTGCATCTTACTTTTCAGTACACATAGATATGAGCGCATGAGGATGTGTCACCCTGGTGAGCACCCCCGAGGGTCACCGGGTGTCCGGATATGTGAATGCACCCCCGTGATGCTCACAGCTGACCTTACGCCCTTACATTCCTTTTTCTTCCAGTAACAACAGGATTATACAGCACTGAAAACAATAAACACAGAAGGCTTGACTGTTTTTTGCCCTTCTAGTATATATTTCCATTCCCACTACTGCCCATTTAAACCTGTTACCCACGGTGAAAAATAGTTCTCTAGTCATTTACTGACCCTTAAATTTACGTACAAATGACAGACTATGTGAAATTGCTGAAAATAAGATACAGTGATCATCGATACAATACATTCCAACTGCGGGTATGTTGACACACGAGCAATCACCGTATTGTATTAGAGACATTTTATTGAAAATGCGAAAATAGGAAATGTATTATAGCCTAAAATAAATTACATAACATATACAGTATATATTTATATCTTTAAAATATTTTTGTTTAGGTTCTTTCAGTCTAGGAATTTCGACGAAATCAAGAATTTGCTGAACTGTGTCCATAATTTTTTTTTTTTTTAAAGAAAAAACCCGCTTTCCAAAACTTAGAAAAATATACTGCACTAAATGGATTTCAAATGTGTCGTCTCAGGGAATATCACATAGTGACTTTGATACTGTTTATAAAATGTCTTGCTTTATCCTGTGGCATGAGAAGGGGAGTCACACGCGGAATTAACCTGTACCGTGTGATTATGACTAAGAATGGCAGAACCAGGTAATACATCTACTTCAGAAGTTACGATACGGCAACCTGGCATTAGAATGCTAGATTATGACTTAAAGCTTCAGTCCACTTAAAAAACTAAAATGTAAAGTTAGCAACGCTCCATTTCCCTTCCTCTAGTGCCATCTTCAGGAAAGGGGGGTGAAAGACAAGCCTTCGGGGAAAGCCATGCGGAAGGATGCCGACATTTGGAGATGCGCGCCTGTGACCACTTTAAAGAGTTAGCTCAGCTGCGTACACGGCGGGGCACAGTGCGGGAGCTCACTCGGGTCCAGGAGAAGGCAAGGTGACAGGCGAGTGTCGTCACTCGGCTGCTCCCACGGTGTCCTGAGCCTTCCTACGGGACGTTTGTCCATCCGTCCGCCCAGCGCCGTCGCAGATCCATGCCTTGGCGTGCACGGCCGCTCCGGCTGCAGCCTGTCGGCAGGTGTGCGGTGGACAGTTGATGACTCCACGGTGGGAGGCCACCGGGGTCCCCTCTGTTCGGCCGTGTTACTGAGAAGCCAATTAAAGCTGAGTTGTAACCTGCTGATTCTTAAAAGAGATGAAAAGGGACAGGGTGAAGTCTGGCCTGCTGGGCAGTGGTGGCCGAGAAGCGACGGACGGCACAGCCGCAGTCCTTTGGTTCCAAGTGGAGAATGCACGGGGGACGAGGGCGGAGGACGCAACTCGGACTACAAGGCAACTATGTCTTTTGGGGTTTCAGGAAGCGGGGGCATGAAGTCAATTGTTTTTGTTGGTTTTTACAAAGCAGCGGCAAAGACCACCCTCTAGGTCCCCGCCTGAGTGTGGGCATATATGCCAGAGAGTTTACATGAAACCTTTAAATCAAGGCCTCTCGTTAAAACCGAAACCAAAACCAAAGCAGAGCGAAACGCAATGGGAGAGGAGACGAGGCTGAAGACTCGGCTCGGCTCGGCTGCCCGCGCGGCCGCCACGCCTTATTCATTCTCCTCTCTCATTTCCACGGTGTCCGTCCCCTCCTCTGCCGGGGGTATGTCCGTCATGGCCGAGTCCTCCCCCTCGGCTGCTGACTCATTCTCCATCTTCTTTTTCTAGACCAAAGAAGACACGTCAGCGTGGGCTGTGACAGGGACACGTCACAGCAGAGCCGAGAGCAGGGGGAGCCCACCCTGGTGTACTCCAGCGATCTACCCCTGGTCCCCACCTCTTCTCTGCCTATATCCACTCCCTGGTTAATCTCGTCTCTTCTATGGTGAATGATTAACGTGGGATGGGGCCCACTCCCTGGGCAGTCAGTCTTTGAAAGGAAAGAAATATACCTCTAAATAATTAGATAACCCTGCAGGACAAACTAATTACATGCTAATGGACTTCTAGTACATCATAGCGCACGCGTGTGTGTGTGTGTGTGTGTGTGTGTGTGTGTGTGTGTGTGTGTGTGGAGGGGGTGGTTAAGAAAGTGCCTGCAGTGGGGTGGGCGCTGGGGCTGAAGAGGGGCGAGGGTCTGTAGAGGCGAAGAGTGGGCGGGGGCATGTGGACCACCCAAGACTTTCCGGACTGGTCATTCCGTAGCGAGCAAGTCTGAGTTTATGAGGACTTGGGGGAGGGCGGTCCCTGGTGGTTGGGGGAATCACCTCTTCAGGATTTTCTTGCGTGGTCAAAACCATTATTTAGTTTCTACATTTTAAAAATTGTTAGAGGCAACAGTGGGATGCAGGATGGCAGACCTGGCTTCATCGAGCTGTCCCTCCCGAGAAATATGACTGCCTTTTGAAGCGAGGCAGGGCGTGAGGAACGACCCACGGAATCACGTGACGGGGCACCCCTTGTCATGAAACCTGACCCAGCCTCAGCCACTCTGGTCGACAAGCTGCTCACCCTGAGTCACGGTATGGGATGACTGTGCGGTGTCACCACCACGTGGGCCCCTGGAGGGCCGCTCAGGTCTCCCTAGCCCTGGAGGAGGCTCTGCGGCCACGGCAGGTGTGCGCGTCCGTCGCCACGTCTCACCTGTTTCCGATAGACGTAGCAGGCTGCGATGGCGACCATGGTGGATTCTCCCACAAACCCCGCGAGGAGGGAGCCCACGCCCAGGGTGGCTCCGTGTACCCTGGGATGAGAACCGAAAGGCCATTTGTCGTTAACGCTGAGGTGAGGCACATGGAATCAAACCCAGGCCACGGGAAGAAGGCGGAGGGGCCGGACCGTCCGTCGCGCTGGGGGTCTGCACCTGAGAAGCGCTCCACCTGCACGCGGAGGTGGCGTGCAGCTCCGGCCGGGGTTCCCCTCCGCTCGCTCCCGCTCCCGGGGTCTCGACTCAGCACCTGCCAGCCGGCCACGCCCCTCACCCGAGCCCGCAGCACCGCCCACCCCTCCGCCCAACGCAGCGGGTTTCCAAGGTGAAGGGGCTCATTGACGCCCCTTCCCCAGGAGACCGGGGCCCGTAGTGGGTGCTCGATGAATACCACGTCTGGGCCTGACCCCGAAAATACTTTTCTAGAATGGATTGCAACAGCCCCCCACCTAGTGCCCAGGCAGAAACCACACGCGGCTCAGCATTATGAATTCTACCTCTGGTTGGGGTTTCACATGGAAAAGCAGATGTAAACCTCCGGCCAGGGTACTTAAGTGGCAGAAGGACACAAGCCCCAAGCCCCCCGATGACATACCCCAGGTAGGGCAAGACCACGAGGCTGGTGATGAGGACGATGATCCGCAGCACGGAGCTGGGGGCCAGGACAAAGGTCTTCTTCAGGGTCATCAGCCACCCGGTGAAATGGGCCCTCACGGTGACTAAGGGGAGAGCAAAGGACTTGTCAGCGACGCCCTGCTCCTCCCAGTCCTGCAGCCTCCAGCTTCTAGCTCCTGCATGGCACACACGAGGTCGCCGGCTGGCTGGCTGGGACCCAGGCCTTGTGGCCCTGGGCTAGCGACCTCATCTTTCTGTTGGCCCCGGATCCCTGATTCTGGGTCTGGGGCGGCCCCGTCTGTACCTTGGCTCCCACTTCGTCACAGCCCCTAACATCCAGACAGCAGGCTGTGGGCAGCTTCCTTCCTCCACCGTGACGGCGGGGCCTGCTCCGGGGCCGTCCTGTCCACTCCTGCCACCCCCAGCCCCAGCCCCACCCCGACCCCAGCCTCAAGCTCTGGCCACTCCTCTCTAGAAGAGAAAATTCAAGAGAGAAGAGGCAACTTGACGGTGATCAAGTCTGACTCGAGACGAGGAGAAAAGCTGGGCCAGAGGCCCTTCCGACGACAGTCCGGGGGAGGCGTAGGGAAGAAGGGCGCTGCTCTCGTCTCTGACCATGCACGCCGAGGCCACTCCCCTTTTGCCTTCTCCTGGTACCACCCCTTCTTTCCGAGGAGCCAATATGTCACACCCCCCTTGCCTGTCTCCCCATCCAGGTGTGAACTGCAGGAGGGGCTCCAGGGGACTGACTGAATCTGGCTGTGAGGGCACACGCCCTCGCGGGTGACAACTGCCCGAAGGTTCAGGTGTGATCTGCACCTGGAAGGGGGTTAAGGACACGTCAGGCCTAGTCCTTTACCCTGCAGACAGTGGCCAAGACAGTCTGAGGGGGAAGCATTGCTCACTGTGCCCCGGGTCCGCTGGAGGAGCTGCTGTGTTCTAGACGGAGGGTGTGCTCTGCCCTGCGGGGCCCAGGGTGGAGGGTCGGATTTGAGACACACAGATACACACTTCAGTTTGGCCGAGGGGACAGGGTGAGGGTGCACAGTTTTGTGTCAATTCGGCTGGCCCAAACCCAGCAGGTCGCAGACAGGTGGGGGCTGACGGCTTCTGGAAGCCGGTAGTCTGACAGGAGAGGAAGTGGAGTCGAGAGGAGACCACAGGTAAATCCCACCCCAGGACTGGCTGGCGTTCTCTGGGACCTCTAGCTGCTCCTGGAGTAGGGACAGGTGAGTGCAGCCCCTTCTCAAGCTTGGCTCCTCTGTGTCCCCCTGACCAAGACCAGACACTGCTCCAAAGCCGTCATCTTCCATTCCTCCGTTTCTGCCACATTGGGGAAGGTGACACCCAAGAGACCCTGTCTCCAGACATGCTTGGCATCTGAAAGCTGCGCCAGCTTGTGGCCCGACTCAGCGACAGCCCAGGACTGGCGGGCGCGCCCTTGGCCCTGGCCTCGACTAGCTCCGTGGTCTGGCTTCTTGGCTGGACGATTTAAGTGGAATTTTTTGGCAGTTAAATTTTTAACAGGTAGTGACCTGCACTTGGTACAGAATTTAAAAAGTGCTGAAGGGGACACAGTACAAAGGTCCCCTCCCCGTCCTGTCTCCCTCCATCCCCCCGGCCCTGATCCTGCTTCCCACTGTTGGCGGTTTGATGAGTTACTTCTAGAAACAGTACCCAGACGTGCCTAGACTTACCCTAAACATATTATATATGGACCTACATAGATGTGCGATGCATTTGTTATAGGAAAGGCAGCACGCCAGTCAACCATTCCGTGACTGGATTTTCTCAAGTAATAAAAAACCACCTCATTCTTTATGGCGTGACTCCTACTACTCCATCAGCTTGGGAACCGTCAAACCGGCTCACACTTTGACTGTGGGCTTCCCCTGGCTGGCCACACGCCCTCTGGCCTCGACTGTGCCCCTAGATTCTTATCTCCCATAGAGAGATAAGAATTCTCCAGATTTTAGATTTTAGAATTCTCTTGTTTTCCATTTTGCTTCTCCAATGAACATGCCGAAAGACTGACTTTTGAGTATACAGTTCTGGGAATTCGAGAGCACGCACAGATCTGTGCAAACGGCCCCACAAATTGGGAGGCAAAGCAGTTCCGTTCCCCAAACCGCTCACGCTCTCCCTACGGGTCTCGATTCTCTTTACTGTGTTCGCGACCACTGTCCTTTAAGAAACAAACGGTTCCTGTTGAACTTTCCACCGACCGCATAACGTCTTCACGTCTTTCCGATCCCCTGTGAAAATTTTACGTTTTTGTTTGGGCCGTGATTGCAAACATTTCCAGAGAAGATCGGGGCCGGCATGAAGGTAAACAGGGATCGTCTCTCGTTCTGTTTTCGTTACCTGGGATGGGGAAGAAGGAGAAGATGCGCAGAGGGACGACGCAGAGTTCCGCAAAGGCGAAGTCCACGCCGATGATGTCTATCAGGATCTTCTCGGAGACGTTGGGGGTCCAGAACATCACGAAACAGAGCTGCAGGCGGGGGCGGGGGAGACGGCAAGGATGTTAGGAAAAGGCACACACGAGGGACCTGAGGACAGAGAGGACAGATCTGCACGAGCAGCTGGCCGGCACACCGGTCCTCGAGCCACTGCCCGCCAACACGGGCCCCGGTCTGCCACGTCTGCCCCAAAGGGACCCGGCAGCGGGGCGGAAGTGGACACGTCTGAGGGGGTAACCGGGCCAGGGAGGGAGACCAGTGTGCTCTCATGGAAGGCTTCACCAGACGGCTCACCGGCTCAGTCAGTTCAGGGCGAACGCGTTAATGTAAGTTTGACAGCTCAAACCAAATGATGGGAAGAGACCTGAAAGCATCTGGCTGTATGTAAACCACACTGAATCAGCGCGCCTAGTGAAAAAGGGAACTGTAATACTGAGGTTGATTAGAGGCCTGGAAGCCTGGTGAGGTCTGGGTAAGAGAATACGAGACGGCAGCCACGGCACTGGGAACTGTGGAAAAAAGACGGGCAACTGGTCGACTGACTGGAATTGAAACGGACGGGGAGCGGAGCCAAAACCATGCCACTTCCATCAGGTGTTTCTCTCCCTCTGTTCAGATGCAAGCGACTCTTCCCTCAAATGAACGTGGACACATTACAAAACGAATCGCAGTCATGTAAAAACAGGACACTGAAATTTTAGCACATAACACCCTTTCGGCTTTGGGTAAATTAAGCTTCATGGAGTTAGGCTGGTCCTATTTACTACGTCATGTGGAAATATTTGTAAGAATACCTGGGAGGACCCACTCTAAATATGTTTCACTTTATCAATGCAACAGAACTTTTATTCTGTCATGTCGTTTTCAGCATCTGGGAAGAATCTCCCACTGGTTTTCAAAAAATGACAGAGGTACTACCATCTAAGCCTCCTGGTGGCAGCACTTACTCCTCCCGTCTGACGCGAAGGAGAAATACTTCCCTAGTGGTAGCAGCTCCGAGCTCTGAGACTTTATCACTAGTGGCCTGGACGAGTGGCCCTGTCATCTTTTTCCTGCCGGCTGCCAGCCTGAAATGGTATGAAATCGCTCACGTCTACATATTACAACTTCAAAACAACACCGAGCACAGCATGGGGATACAATTCATTTTCCTGACAAATATTTTCCATAGCAGTGAAGCTGTGAAGAATTTAGACAAGTGAGCCCCGCCCCAAGACTGGACTTGATTTGTGCCTAGGACCCCCCAGAGGGTGAGCCACCCCGTGTGTTTTCAGTGGTTGGGGTTGGACACCTGGGCCATATTCCGCTAAAGCTCCCAGGACAATCACTGTGATGCTGTGTTTATTTTGTAGCCGGTGTTATCTGAATGTAAGATAATGCCTCACACTGCAATCTCTCTCTGCTTTGCAAAATTACTGTAAAGTGGCTTTTAAGTTACAACGGAGCAAGGGAAGAGGAAGGTGTCACTGCACCTCAGAGAGGATGGAGCGAGCGAGCGTCTCTGCCAAAGCCAGACTCCATATTATTCACGTGGAGAAACCGGGTTCCTCCCTCTGGCTGCTCCACGTGAATATTCTCTCGGAGGTTTTGTACTCCTTTGGAGGAGATGACCAGGAACCTTTGCAGGAGGAAGTCCAGTTTGAGGACACAATGACAGTGAGCATGCCCAAATCACTTACGTATCTGTAATCTGGGTGGTGACCACATTTTAGGTCTCTTGAAAAAAAACATGTTAAGGTTTGGTAGATCTCTCATAGAGCTTCTCAGGAGCGTAGCTCGATATTCCATTTTTAAAATTCCACAGTATGATTTAACTTGGCACCGCTAAACCGCTCTGCTGTCTACCTGGTACTCATCTGTGCCAAGCATGCCCTAAGTGCCCCCACCCCCAGCCATCAAGGCCACAGGCCACTGAGGTGCGTCTTTAGTTTTCAGCCAGGTACACGTGGAGTCTAGGTTAGGTCTTCTAGAACAACGTAACTGAAAGCTGCCAGTCTGGTCTGGGGCCTGAGCAATCACAAGTAACCATTTAGAGGGAAGGAACACCGTGTACATGGTGTAGAAGCTTCCTTTCTCCTTCTCCCTGAAATATCCGAATTCGACCCTTTGCCTTGGCCATGCTTCCAGTGTGAAAATGCCCTGTGCCTTCCAGTAAGTTCCTTAAAAAATGCCTATTCCCTGCCTTGCCCAGTAGGTATGGCCTTGGCTAAAAGTCACAATACCTATCTGCATGTCAGCTTCCTCTAAGAAAAGTCCTGAGCCCTCGCCTAATAATGAGACCAAACTTAGCCAGTCTGTTTCAGAAAACAAGAAGCTTTTAGAGGGTAAACGAACAAAGACTATTTCAGGAAAAGTGTCATTCTAGTGAGTTCGCCCAGAGTAGTCTTGACTCAGAACATGACCTCCCGGTTGACCATGACATGCTGTGTTCCTCAAATATTTGCAGAGGCTAACGACATTGACTTTTCCAAGCCAGAACGCAAACCTAATAAACTCCTGACAATGAACATGATTTGTTCCTTAGAGCAGCTGCAGGGGTGGGTTTGCTGCTGCGGAGCTTGCTGTCAATCTTATCTCATTAGGAAGCGGCCAGCAAAATGGAACAACCCACTCAGTGCCCAGATCTTTGGTTTTCCTATTTGTTCTCCAATAAAAGGAACCAGGGCTTCTTGGAGAAATGGCTCATTCTAGGACGAAGGCTGGAAATATACAAGATTATCGGCCTGGAATAATATGTCAAAGGACACGAAAGCACAGCAAGAAGAGTTCTCAATAGCCAAAGTTGGAACAATTTGAGCAACAAAATAAAGAATGTACTGAATTATGACCCACGGCATGCAATAAATATCCACGAGTCCATATTGATATAAATAAACACATGGGGACAAATTCCCTGCATAGAATTTCACCTAAGTTAATGTAGATACTCCTCCTCAGGGAGGTGGAACCTTCTGCCCCATCCAGAAGCGTGGGCTGCACTTAGTAACTTCCTTCCAAGGGGAGTACAACATGGAAATGGGGAGAAAGGACCCTTACCGTAGAGAGACCTGGCAAACATGATCTCAGCCAGGTGATCAAGGTCAACACCGGCAGTGAGAAGTCATGTTGACGGCATGTACTCTTGATAAGAATGACACTTTACCCACGTGGGTTTCCTCCCCCAAGTCCATAAGCCCCATCTAACCATGAGAGACACTGCAGATGAACCCCAAACTGAGGCACATTCTACAGAAACCCTAACCAGTATTCCAGACAATTGCCCAAGGCCACGAAAACAAGCAAAGTCTGTGACAGTTTCTCACAGATCAGAGGAGGCTGAGGAGGAAAGATGGTAATGTAGATGGGATCCTAGGACAGAAAAAGGACATGAGGAAAAAGCTACTGAAATCTGAATAAGCCACAGAGTTAGGTTCGGAGTAACACACCCGTGTTGGTCCCTAAGCTGTGATAGGTGAGTAAAGGGTGAAGGGCGTGTGAGAACTTTGTGCGTCTTTCTGATGTTTCTGTAAATCTAAAATGATCCTAAAACAAAAAGGTTATTGAAAAAGGAGACCCCTGATCCACTCTTTTATTTGACATGACATACTGTGATTCTTTTTCTCAGGACTAGGCACTGACCATGAAATTTGAACTACTTTGAACTACTGATGTGCATTTCAAGATACAGTCATCTCTCGTAGACTGTGGTCCCCTCCACACAATCCTCTGCCTTCACGGCCACTGGCATTACTCTCTTCTTCCACAGCCTCTCTGGAAACTAACCCCCACCGGGCCGCAGCCCTTTTATTCACAGCCCTCGCACGCAGTTGCCAGTTAGTGTGTGTGCCACAGTCACATTTCTAACGATGCTTTGGTTGGGCAGGTCAATGAGTAATTTAACATTTTCCTTAGTGGCAACCCATTAAGCAGGCGTTAGCTCTATGGAGGTCTGTGCTGGGGGCAGTATTTAACCTTTCCTTTTTAAGTTCCTATAACAGTGAGCTAAGTTACGACAAAGTTTTATCATAGATCAAGACCCCCAAAGAAGAGCAAAGTGTGCACGGTGGAGGAAGGCAGCCCCGACCCTTACAGAAGTAGCACCCCTGGTCTGAGATACTACAGTTGAGTCAATGAGACTGGAACCACAGAACGGGCACCTTTCCGAGACTTGCCTCCTCACACAGTCAGTCCCTGACCTGCGCTGGACGACCCGAGTCTCTTTCTCAAGAATGCGGGAGTGGGATCTGAAGAAGCCAGTTGTCCCCATCAGCATTTGAACTCAGAGAACATACAAACCCAGCCACAAGGGTGCTGCCATTTCTGCACGTCCTCACGGGATTCCGTTTCACAGAGGAACATTGCCAAGAGCTCTGGATTTGACTCAGTGTCCAGAGGCTGCTGACCATGCTTTTGAAGACGTCATAAAGCTGTCTCCATGACCCTGAATAATCAGTATTAGTAGCAAGCCAGAGATTCTCGACCCCTGCGGTGAGAACAAGTAAAATACACGCAGCTACTGTGAATTAAATGCCTGGCCCCGGGCGTCATTGTCATTCAGAGTTGTACTTAGAAAAAAAGATTCAACAGGCGTTTCACCTGGTCTAAGTCTCCACTGGTGGTTAATCCCCAAGAATACCACATACAAAGAGGCGGTCACAGCTCGGCTCGGGACTGCGTGCTTGGTGAGCGAGTTGATTTGCATTCTGGTGCTGGCTCCTCAGCGCGTCTCAGATGACCAGACCATCAGCGCCTCTGTGGCCCCATGATCTGCACAGAATGCTCCTACCAGGTCTGGGCGCAGCGAGTGTGACCAATCGATCTTAGCTATCATTATCATATAGGGTTCCCGGGACCACCATAAAACGCTATCAGCAGAGTCATCTGTGGGTGGTAAGATTAGGGCTGAATTTATTTTCCTCTTTGGATTTTCCCATTTTCCACAAAGAGCACAGATTCTTTTTTTCTTTATCAGAGAAACATTTTAAAATAATAGGGACCCCTGTAGCTGTCAATCTTAACATGTGCTCATGACAGGGTAGTCTGGATTCAGAGG